CATATTATTTTCTAGTAGTTATTAGTTTTAGTTAATTTTCGTATACGTTCGTTTCCAGTCTTTTGTTTTAATAGTATTACTATAGTTTTAAATGTTCAAAGTGCTTTAAGTGTACTCATGCAGTGTATAAGCGTAAGTAGACATTTTTTTTTACTCTTAAGTGTATTATTTATTTTTGATTAAGTGGCAGGCCGACTCGTATAACGTAGGTTGGGAAGGCTAAGGCGGGAGCGAAGCGTAGCGTAGTTCATGTAGCTTTGTGTTAATTTAAAATTCGGTGATAGATCTTACTCATTATTTGACGATCATTTTGGCACTTGGAAGCGACATATTGACATTTCTAAGTATCAAAATGGCAGTAGTGTCGTAATAATGCATAGAAATGTTGTAACTTTAAGTCTCAATAACTTTTGACTCTTTCGTTTCCTCAAAACAAAATGTATATATTTGGACTCCCTATCACCTCTCTATCCAAAAATATCACCCTCTCCTCTAGAAACCGCGTCCCTTATACTAAAACTGCAGCCGCTAACTGTGCAGGAGTTATAGTACACAAGTGTACGCGTAAACACCAGTCCAGTACATTCTCTATACATTTCACTCCCAAATTCTGATGAGCCGATCAAGACTGGTGAGAGATTAGGTGCAATACGGACGGGTTTATGTGCTCTCTGAAGCTTGGGGGTAAAACACCGCCAAATTTCGTAACAGAAAGACCCAATAACTATACTTGGGCTGAACCGGGACTTGAACCCAAGACCTCCAGATCTACAAGGTAGCCACTAGATCACAAAGGCATTGCTACTAACAATGCATCTACTAAGTAATGAATTACCATTAGCAGTTATCCGTTAATTTCACCTATCTGTTTTGCTTCAACATAACATAATACTAACTAACGTTGACGCATGAATCTCTCTTTGCGTTCGTTATGATTTAGTGATTTGTTTATCTCATCAAAATCATATCAAAACCAATCAATACAATCATGAAATCATCGTCCACATTAATATTGACAGTTTAAAAGATTGTGAGTATAAATGTAAGCTAAAACCTCTTGAACCAAATTAAATATCCTAATTATTTACAAATTGATGTTTCTGGATAAAAGTATAGCAAGGTGGTGTAATATTAAGCTTTCCACTTGAATAATTTAAAATTAAAAGTACATTATACTGTTATACTTTGCAGATTTATGTGTATTAATGTCCACCTGCTGGGCACGGCCTCCCTTCGTTATAAGGGGAATCAGGCCACGCTGGCCAAGTGTGGGTTGGTGAACTTCAAACACCTTTTAAAAACTTGCTAGATTCTCTCAGATATATAGGTTTCCTCACAATGTCTTCCTTCACTGTAAGGTAAATAGTAATCATGTTGGAAACGATTCACACACGAAAATATCAGAGGTGCGAAGCCCGGGATTTGAACCCGCTTCCCCCTTGGTTTACAATTGAGTAAAAATTTTGTACGTACTTACAAGCATATTATATATGTACGTACATACATGTTTTAAATAAAAAAAAATACATATTCGTATCCGTTAATTTTTTAAGTTAGTTAAATAAGTTTTTCAATGTAAACAAAGGCGCTTTTGAAGAATTTGCCTTCTCCATCTAGGACGCTTTATTTGAACGCTTTATATTAAGTGTTTCGTAAACGTTCTTTTAAGAGCTTAACGCCAGATTTTAAATTTCATTATCACTCTACTCGTAGTATATCGTATATAGCGGAATAATTATGTCCACAACCTCGACCGCCATATTAACATCCTTCCTGCATTGTATGTATATTTTGTATTTAGCAAGTAGGTGTTCTCTTATATTTAATAGATTTATCTTCTATTATAATGTCTACTTAATATTATAACGATGAAAGATTTTTGTTTGTTTGTTTGTACCAAATAGGCTCCGAAACTACTGACAAATAGGTGAAATTTAGTAAGGAAATAATTTGAGACCCTTGGAAGGACATAGGATAGCTTTTATCCCGGAAGTCATCCCTTAAGGGGGCGAAAATGGGGATCAAAGTTTGTATGGGGAAGCAACCTATTTTATATTTTCATTTATTTTCACAGAAAAATATAAGGTAACAAAGATGATAGCTTTTTATTAATAAAAAACAAGGTTCAAAAAAAATGGTAAAAGACAACTAATTGTTCCTATTACGTGTAATTGAAACAACTCTATTCACCAAAATCACTACGTTTTTGTATTACATTATTTACATACTAGCGACTCACAATCGCTTTGCTCGGGTTCATCCCTAGATTGGTTATACAAAATTTCATCCCCATTTTCAACCCCTTAAGGGATGAGTTCCGAGATAAAAACTATCCTATGTTATTTCCAGTGTCTCAAACTATCTTCTTACCAAATTTTATCTAAATCAGTAATTTCGGAGCGTATTCAGTACAAACAAACAAAAAATCAAATATTTCCTTTTCATAATATTAGTATAAATAATCCGATTTAATCCAGGTGTTAATTAAAAACATAATTAGCCAGCTAATGAGCTTGAGCTCCAGCTTCTATTAATCTACTAAGCTGACCGCAAAGTTAGGTGTTTTAATTAACCGACAACAAAAAAAGGAGGTACCCAATTTGAATGTACGTCTTTTTTTGTATGTTACTTAACTGTACTATATCTTAACTGATTCTGAACCAGTTTTTCTATATATATTTTTTTATTATTATTTTTAAGGCAACACTCAAAATAATGGTAAAATTATTTTAGAATAATTTTCACTTCGATGTACTTGTTAAGTAAATAAGTAATCATTTAATTTATTAGCTTAAAACAAATTAACAGATATTTAAAAAAAAGATTTTAGCTTTCATTATATATATATATATATATATATATATATATATATATATGTGATGTGATGTTCTCCCGACCGATTCCGGCCACGGCGGCCAATCTCATTGAGACTAGCTAACTGCGCAGGAGATATTATAGTGCACAAGTGTACGCGCAGACACAGGTGCACTCTCTATTCCTGTCACTCTCATATTCTGGTGGGAAGAAGTTAAGGCGCAGGACCGACGGCTTGACGTGCTCTCCCAGGCACGGGGGTGAAACACCGCCAACTTCCCAACTCCGGGCTGTTACTGAGGCTTACTGTGCAGAAAGACTCAATAACTAAACTTGGCCTGACCCGGGACTCGAACCCAGGACCTCCGGGTGTGCGGCCGTACTTACTAACCTACACTACACCACCGAGGCAGTCAATATATATATATATATATATATATATATATATATATATATATATAGATTAAACATCCGTCAAACACAATATTTTACAAAAAAATATTTAACTTACAACTTTGACCTAAAAAAACACAGAAATGAATTGTCATCTCTTCAGAGCATTAAATCGCGAGCTGTTTTATAATTATACTCTTAAGTAAATATCGGTGTTCCATTTCATTTACAGAACGAAACAAGTTAAACATGGCCCATATTTTATATCTCTTGAATTTCTCACGCAATTATTTATATAATGTTCTTCCTTAAGTGAAACACGTTATGGAATTTAAAAAAATTAAAAAAAAGTAAAAAAATATGCTTGAATCTTACAAATATTATTAATGTGAAAGTTTAGATGTTTGGATGGATGTTTGTTACTCACTCACGCCAGAACGGCTGAACGGATCTGGATGAAATTTGTCACAGAGATAGATTATAGTCTGGAATTATAGCACTTAGGCTACTTTTTATTTGAAAAACGTACGGTTCCCGTGGGATAGGTTTGTTTTCTTACATATATTATTATTTCTACAAACACTAACGTGAGAACGTACAATATGATATTAATAGCTTTATGACTAAATGAAGCTTATTAAAAAGAATTTAGCATTAATTCAAACATTTCAGACAAATTCTACCCAATAATAGACCAAATAATATCTGTTAAATGAGTTGTTTACTGAACTATTGAAATTTAAATTTCAGTATTAAAAATAGAATAAACAAGAAAAGAGTGTAGATACGAAGAAAAAAAATACTTCTGTATATGTATACCTACTAAGTAAAGTTGGCAAAATTTTCTAAGCTACTGGTAAAAACGACCAAACTTAATGTGTTGTTAGTAAAAACTCGAAATGGAATGCAACGATGAGAAAACTTTTGAAGCAAACTTCAATTTATTCCCACATAAATTTTCCTCGCGCATCCAAATGTCCATTCAAAAAGCTGAGCGAATTTTTATAATGTGAAGTTTGAGTAATATATGAGACTGAGATATACTGATGGGTAGGCTTTCATTAAAACAAGATATCGAGTTTTGTTACTTTGGTACTTTAGCTATTAATTTTTGAGTTCGAGTCTCTGATTGGACCAAGTATATGGGTTTTTCTGAATCTCAAGCAAAAAAATAAAAATAAACCAAAGAGATTTCTGGCCAAAATCTCAGTAACAGCTTAGAGTTAGTTAATAACTCTCTATAAAATCTATACATATAATGAAATTCTAACTAAGTCAAATCTGTGCATTAAATATTATTTAGATTGAAATAGTCATAATTATCGATACAGAGGCCGAATATATAGTTTTAGAATTTTTGTCTGTCTGCCTGGGAACGGATCACCAGAAAATCACTGGACAGATTTTGATGAAATTTGGTATGATGATAGCTGGTTATCCGGGTCAACATATAGGATACTTTTTACTGCGGGGAAAATATCTCATCTATGACTAATTTATACTAAACATTAAAGCACAACTAGCGAGTCTTCTTTAAAACACTACTGAAATTACGATGAATTCTCATATAATTTTAATGATTAGTGTAATTGCATAATGAAAATAAAAGGTATATGTATATTGGAATTTTTCAATAACTACTAGTGGACTCCTCAGGGCTCATCTATTTCGTTTAGACATTTTTGCCAGGCTTGTCACGGTTAATTAGACTAAAGCGTGATTTGTAATGTGTTGATACTGAAACTTATATCTTATTTTTTCAGGAGGACGAGCGACACGAACGACAGGTGATCATGAACGCATCGCGATCACTCGGGTTCAATGACTCCAGTGGTAAGTGGTACTTTACAATATATTTGACAGTCGGTTGTTGAATTTTTTTAGCATAGAGAAAGAATATGTCATAAAAAATACCATAGAGTATTTTCTAACCCGATATACCAACTTTTTTAATGACATAATAATATACGGATATTACAAAGATAATGTATGTATTAGTTCATAAATAATACATACATTTTCTTATAATAAATTTATAAACAAAACTAACATAAGAAAATACAAGCAAAGCGTTTAGTTATAATTTAGAGCTTTTAACGTCACATAAAAGCTCGTAATATTCAAAACTTTTTTCAGTTACAATCCAAAAGCCATATTTGTAAGCACAAATATTAGAAAGCATCTGCATAAAGAATTCGAACAAAAAATATAAAAAGGTCGCTCATTGCCTATGCTTGGGAAACTTGGGTGCGTCCTTAATCCAATTATGGCTGAGTGCAAAGAACGTTAACGTTATAGAAGCGACATAAAATTTGTCAGAATTTAATTAAAAATACATATATGTACAACGTTTGAAAATTTGTATGTTTTTGTAAATTTTGTGTCTTTTTATTAAGCACATTCACATTATTAATACTTACACTACTACTTATAGTTTTTATATGTTTGTGTGTGGGTATGTGTGTTTGTATTTTGGATGAAACATACATACAACACAGATATACATACATATATATACCTGAAGTAAAACATAGGCTTAAAATAGATAGTATACTAAGTAGGTAGTGATAAAAAAATCCAAAGAATGGATCTACCTATACATAATATTACCTATCAACACAAAAGATACCTAAGGACCTGAGCCAAGCAAGGTAAAGTCGCTAGCTAGTAATTATAAATAACAATTAGTTCTCGTAGCACCTAAGCCTTTTTTGATCTAAAAAGCCTTTTTAGGGTTTCGTACCTGACGAGCTAACGGAACCCTATTCCTAAGTCTCCGCCGTCCGTCCATCCGTCCTTCCATCTGTCAGATGTATTCTGACATTATATAGACTATTATATAGATCTGGCTGTATTTCATGGACTGTTCTAGGTAGAGTTGAAATTTTCACAGAGTGTGTATCTCTATTGCCGCTATAACAACAAGTAATAAAAAACCAAGATGGCGAATTTCCAAAAGACTGCCATGCAACAACAACAATTTTAAAAAAAAACACGATTATGGTACGGAACTCTCCATGTGCAAATCCGACTCGCACTTGACGGATTTTTATCTTTACTAAACTATATTGATACAAGACAGATAGCTAGATAGCTAAAGACCAGAAGTAAAACAACTTATTTGTTATAATATCTTTTATTCTATGAATTCACACTCTACTGGCCGTAAATGCTGACAATTTCTTAATGAATTTAAAATATGCACCGTCATTCTCTATAACCACTATTTATTATCGTACATATTTGTTTGGGCTTTATTTTATTCGCTTGTGGGATATCATTTTGAAGGTTTATGTAAAACCGTGATATTTATTACATGTTATTCGTGTATATTCTGCGAAATCAACACATGGATAATTTTAAATTGTTTACATTTAACATAATAATAATAATTACAATTTTACTAACTAGGTTTCTTCCGCGACTCCATTCACGTTTTAATGAATGTACGTGAATTCAAACCAAATCATATACTTCCTGTGGTCATAGTTCCTTTATAATCGGCTTAGTCATTTTATAAATTGACGTGTTCAAATTATCGAACAGTAATTATTCGAATTTCTACTCTCTAAATTAACATTTATAACTTCTCTTATTATAAATACTTGAATAAATATGCCACAGGAAAATTGTCTCAGTCTGTTTGTAAATATTATTTATAGTTTATGGAATAGAATGCCGTAGGCAACTTGTAAACTGTTTTTTTTTTTTAATTTTGTAATAATCAAGAAGTTTGTTCATAGGCCGTGGGAAATTTATAAAAACAAGATACATATAAAACAATTAATAAAAAGGTAAAATTAATAAAAAAAATTTAGTTTTTTACACAACAACATTGTAGCTGACTTTGAAAGGGCTGAATTATTTATTAACTATAATCAGAGTAATAATATATTTCTTTCCGTCACTGAGTTTGAATTTATCATTGTACTACACTGCGTGAACATCTAAGAACTTCTGAGTTTAAATAGATAAAACATTCTCACCTTTCAAATTAGAGTTAGATCTGACACCAAACTTGACTTTAATATTAATAACACTACTAACAGAACCCGTGGATTTGCTCGCTCTAAAACTACGAAAAAATCTCTATATAACTAGTTTCATACAAACTTTCATCCACTATTTTACCCCCTTATAGGATGAATTTCAAAAAATGCTAAAACACGCATTTATTTTATTGAAGAGCATTAATACCAACTTTCTAGTAATTCTGATCAAAAACATTTTTTGGATTGTATTATAAAGTGTTTTCCCGTGAGCATTAGGTTATGTCACTCCGTTTTGACGTGAAAGAAGGACAAACAAACAAACACACTTTCACGTTTATAATATTAGTATGGATGTGTCAAATAACCAACCAGAAAAGGTTCAAATATCTAACAAAATATTATATCTACTCAAGTTAAAAATCTGTCCCTAAATGATTGTTACCCTACTATATTTATTTTGGTGAAATGAGTAAGCCTGCAGTATTTTACAAACCAGCCAGCGTTTGTAAATAAACGTAGCCGTTTATATGATAACAAATTATACAGTCTCTCTGTGACATAAAGACCTGGAAGTTGGAACATAAAGCCTACTTACATTACAGTCATACCGTCCTTTAACTAACAATCACGGTTGGTTCTCGGTGTGTTATCGGTCTGGTAAAGTTTTTTCATACAAGAAAGAATTAGTGTTCCCCTCTCAAATTCAGATGGGATGACTATTCGACACTAGCGGTGATTGATTTGACGTAGGACCGACGGCTTTACGTGATCTCCGAGGAGGTTAGACACCACCAACTTCCCAGCCTAGGGCTGTTACTGGGACTATTTTAATAAAAAGATTCAATAACTAAACTTAGGACCTCTGGATATGCAACCGTATATGCTAGCCACTGTACCACCGATGCAGCTTGTTAAAAATAAAATAGGGCATCTAGACATGAAGGAGTATTGGCACTTAGAATAAATTTTCTTCTTTAAACGCGTCGTCTGGTATACTCTTTTCATTTAGGATCGCTATTAGTATGGGCATTTTATTTTTTGGAAATAAAATGTTAACTTAAAATAATAATAAATTTATATATATAATAGTAAAATTATTATATATAATAATATAATATTGAACTACTGGTTTCTGGCCGCAGCTCCGCTATCGTATATGTACATCTATAAAAAGCAAATATGTTATCCGGGATAGATACTCATACTGGAATCCGTATTTATTTTGAAATGTCTAAAATGAGAGATGAGAGAAATATCCTTAGTCTTTCCAGTGATCATAATTGTTGTAAAGTAATCACAAACCAAAAATCAAAAGTTGGGAATCAAAAATCTAAATTTTGCGAAAAAAATCGGAAAAGATCATTTCATTTAAAATATCAAATATTCGTGTATATAAGAAAAAATCTATTTACAACAAATTATTAAGTTTTTTTTTAATTAATTATATAAGAAAATTATACTAATGGGATTTGCTGAATGCTCATCATAACTAGAAAATTAAGAAAAAAATGACGATAACAAAACTGTTTTTAAAAACCCTTGACATAAAACCTTTTTATTACAACATAAAATTTACTAATAACCTAAATGAAACATATCTAGTAATTTAAGTAGACAAAAGAATGAATTTCTTCGTAATCTGTACTACTTTATTCGAAGGCTGTCTCAATCGGGACAGTTCTTAGCTTTTTTTATAGAAAACCAATCTAGCTGTTTCAAGATTATCAGTTCTTTATTTAGTTAATACTTCTACTTTGTAAGGTTTATTTTCTTATTTGTCGAAGCCTTCAGTGCACTTGAAAAAGCACCTTATATCGTCGTAAAATAGGAATGTGTTATTTACTTCAAGGCAATAATTAGTTTTTATAATCACACTAGCAACTCATGTTACGTTTTAACGTTTAGTATAGATTTCTCAGAGGTGAGATATTTTGCCGCAGTTAAAAATTTTCTATATGTTGAGCCGGATAACCACCTATCTTCATACCAAATTTCATCAAAATCTGTGAAGTGGTTTTAACCGACTTCCAAAAAGGAGGAGGTCCTCAATTCTTCGGAATCTTTGTTTTTTTTTTATGTATGTTCACCGATTACTCGAAGATGCCTGAAGCGATTTGGATTTTTTTTTTGTTTAAAAGGATATACTTCCTAAGTGGTTCCATTTAAATTTTATTGAAATCGGTCGAGCGGTTTTAAAAAAAATTAACAAATAAGTATATATATATTTTTAAATAAATTGCTTAATCAAATATGTTATTAAAAACTTTCTTTTTACAAATTACCTCCTTATTACGTCTACACTAAAAATGGAATAATAAAATCTTAAAAAACCGACTTCCAGGCACTAAAATGTAAAAAATAACTAAACGGGGGTTTTCATTTAGAATAGATACCTAACCAGATATTTTAGAAGTCGGTGCGTACCGATGCAAAGGAAATCAGCTAATTTCGATACGTAAAATATTTTTAATTAATAATAATTTTAACTACAATTAGAATTCATACCAAACCATACTTTAGTTTTTTTACCAATTTTAAAAGTTATTTTATATTTTATTTAACATATATTACATAACATAATATTATTCAGTATTATTTTTCACTTCCTGTTTATTGTATTCTATCTCATTCTCACGCCGGCTTAATCCTACATATTTATGTGTTAGTCTCTTTCTCGTGTCGCATTTTCGTTTTATCGAGTTTCAAATCACAACGATTCTAAAGAAGTTTCACTTCAAAATCATCTCGACTTCATTATCGTTCGCTATTTAAAATGTATCATGAAGTCGGTAGCTAACAGCAATTATTAATATAATAAGTTTTATCAAAACAACGAACTAC